GCGGGGGTTGAATGATCTCATTGGAGGGGAGTTTGTGAGGGACTCAGGGATCCTAGTGTGTTTGGTTTGTCCAGGGAACTGGAGAAAGAGCTGGAGCAAAATGGAAGGATCTGAGGAGATGAAATACACACGAGGTGAAGGGAACAGGTGCTTGCATTGTTAGTAAAGTTTGAGGACCTTGGGGGAGGTTTGGGGTCAGACCCTGAGCATTTCAGAGGAGAGGGACCCGGCGGTCCTAGTGGCAGAGCCCAGTTCCTCTTCTTTCCCTCTTGTTCTTCCATGCCAAGGCTATAGCCACTCTTGTAGGGTGGTATGCCCTCCCTGGGGGTGGGCAGCTCCAGCCAAGGCTTGCAAGCTGGCCCTTGGACGGCTTGGTAGGGGAGAAGAGGCCCACGCAATTGCGCCGTTCTTGGCTTGCCTGTCTTCTCTTTGGGAAGCTCTGGGTGGGTCACTGTCACTGGGGGCTGGCTAGGGGTTGGGAAGACTGGGCAAGGAGTCTTTGCTGCCTATCCCTTTCAGCACTGCTTCAGCCAGTTCAGGGTGTGAACAGTCCTGGGAAGTACAGGGCACCGGGTTACAGGGACATATGGAGGCGTGCCTACCTCGGACAGTATTTCCTGGCTTGTTCTTCCTCCAGCTTCTTGAGTAATCTGGGATGGATGGTAAATCAAGCCTGCCTTCCCAGGAGCAGTCCTCAGTTCCTTCTGTATCTGTTAATCCGTGTTTCAGATAAAGACGGGTTTGGGGGCCACTGGTCTGCTTTTTCTCTGGGTGATGGCCGAAACATTATCTGGTCAGATCTGTTACCTTTTGCATGAATCACTCCGTGCAGTGACAGTTTGTGGTCCCCGAGTTAAATCGGGTCTGCTGATCTTAATGCTGGCCCTGGCTCTTTTATTGTTGGAAGTGAAAGATGAGGCAGACATATTCTATTTGTATATAGATGTCTATATTTTAAAATAGCAACCTCCAGCATTTGCCTGTTTCAACCAGTTCTTCAGAGTAGGGTGTTGTCGACTGATGGCGGTAGTGGAGAGACTCAGTATCTCCAAGAATTTAAGCATGAATGCTGTTTGAACGGTAGAACAGAAATCAGTTTACAGAGCTTTCCCATTTTAATTGCAACCTTATTTTTATTTCTTTAATAAAGTGGGCTTGTGAAAAAGTGATGGGCTTACATTCTTAAATTAGAGAAAAAGAATTTTCAGCTTTGTTCCCATGCTCTTCTGAACTGTTCTGCAGTTAGGCTTGTACTCCTTGCTCTTTATGATTTACATATATCTTTTGTTGCCTGCTGGGCTGTCATTTCTGTGAAAGAAATTTCTTTGTACATTGTGTGAGATCAGTGGCATTAGAAATATCCTAGATTGTGGAATCAAGTGCATTTTTTTTTTTTAAATAAAGCTGACAAAGTTATGTTGTACTCAGTTAAGGAAACAGATTAACTAAAAGTGTAAGAGTTATCTTATTTTGAAAGTTATTTTTTTTCTCTGTGCCATGTTACAGTACCGTGTTGCTAATACATTCAGAATTCTCTCGGTTTCTGTTTCTACTGGTGTTAATGGCCTCTAGTTACTTGAAACAGATATTGGACAATATTGCCATTTAGCATTTTTTTTTAGATGTTAAATCTGATTACCTTACTTTCCCATAAAAAGTGTGATTTGGGTAAGAAGTACATTTTTCACATTGAACAATTATGTGAAAGAAGGAAAGGGTGCTACGGAGGTGCTCTTATTTCTGTTAATTTAGATTACTTCAGACAGACATGTTTCCCCTTAAGTCATAAGCTGATATCCAGAAAGCAAAGCCCTATCATTTAAAATATTAATCATGCTCATTTATGTAACTCCAGAATTACAAGTGCATTTCTAAAATAGTATCTTAAATCTGAATTTTAATGGTTATTAGAAAACTTCGATTTTGAATCTGACAAGTGTCTTGTTATTGGCTACAGAAAAGTATTTTTATTCTTATTTAGCTACATTTTTGACTCTTTGCCTCGAAAAAAAACTATTTTTTTCAGAGTTTATTCTGAATTTCAATACTGGCGTTAGTGTTCCGACAGTAACTCGTGCAGTGACAATGGTCAGCAGTGAACGCGATACCTCATGTTTGTGTGGAGTGTGTTCAAGTTTCCAAGGCTCTTAACGGTACAGGATGTCCAGTTTCTGTCTCACTCTTGCACTCTTGTGAGGTCGACACTGATGTCTCCATTTTTCTAGGGAGGCAGCTGAGGAACCCAGTTATGCAAGCTTGTGGGCAGCTGAGATTTAATTTGAACTCAGGTCTTCGGTCTCCTAAAGCCATTATTCTTGCCACTTGTGCCTTCCCGCAAAGATAGAATAAAATACTTCGCACATGCTAATTTAAAACCCTCCAGAAATCAATATCATTAATACGCTTGTTTCTGGTTGACTTATCTTGATTTTCTAAAAAAGTGTCTTTCTATTCTTATCTAGTGGTCTTTTTGAAGAAACAAACATTGGTAGCAGATTTATCCTACAGGATTTTAATGCTCCGGCCAAGAGGCATTTTTGAATTAAAGCCCTCCTATGACCAGTTTATTACTTTCATAATCAACACATCACGATAATGAAACAGTTTATAAATGAGGTGTTGCCGTTTTTTAAAAATTCAGTAGTTGTAAACATTGATCAGCCTCCTAGCTGAATTATTTTTTTTCTAATAATCTTTGGTAAGAACTTGAGCTGGGATGACATCAAGATATATGCTCCTGTGCTCATATAGTTCGGCTTTTATACTTTTCCCAGGCTTGTGTTTCATGATGGGCATTAGTTGCTGACTTTTTATTTTCTCAGGCTAACTGGCTCCCCTCCCCCCTAAATACTGAGTACTTTTGTTTCTCTACCAAATGTAACGGTTAATGTTTACTTAATGTTCAACCTGAATCAAAGAAAATAGGCTTTGGTATCACCCCCTTCCCTCACTTCTATGCCTGTAGAGAATTGACATTGCCGTTTCTTGCCAAGGAGGTTTAATTGGAGATGAAAGTGGCGTCCCATGTTTTGTATTATATTTGCTAGTAGGGGATGCGCTGACTCTCATGCAAAACATCTTTAGAAATGTCTTATGCATTATAATTTAATCCAGCTCTCTGCTACTGCTTTGGATGGTTTTCAATCCAAGCCAAGTAACCATTAAATAAGATTACATAACCCTGTATTTTTAATTATCTGATATAATATATGGATTGGTGGCTGGTTCACTGCCAGGGTATATTTAGTGGTTGGTTACAAGAGGAAGTGGAGCAAAGGATTCAAGATTAACGTGGTCTGTTTGTGTCCAGATTGATAAAGTTCTCTGGTGGTATTTCAGAATAATAATTTTTCATCTTACATCAGTTTCTCTAATATCAGTACTCTTAGCATTACTTAGGATATATGTGAGGGGTAAAAATGTATAAAGGGAGGATCAGTACTTGGCCCGATGTGCCGTGTCTCTTTTTCAACAAAACCTGATGGCTTAACATTTCATTTTTGGTGACCCCCTTTTGGAAATGTTTGTGATTTGCTTGACTGTTGTCAGACATGTGGAGTAAGAGAGACGAATGAGAATGGAAATTACAGAATTATATTTAGATGTAGAGTGTGATTCTCTGTTTCATCCAAAGGAGGCTGTGGTTTTTTAGTTTTCAATTGTTTTTCTTAGGGTTTTCCGAATTTTTGATTGTTTTTTGTAAGAAAATGGATGGGATGCCCTTTCTGAGTTTCCTGTAGCGTGCTGTGATTCCAGGTGATCCAGTGATTGTGAGTCACAGTGTTTTGGTATCTGGTCATTACTGACATGTTGCTTGAGAAGCTGCCGTGCCAGGCCCTGGGGCTGAGTCCTGGAGGTGGCCAGGGAAGAACGCAGACTCCGCTCCTGAGAAATGAGTGTTCTCACATGTGTGAATTTGAGAGTGAGTGTCAAGTTTGTAGATGCCCTCTTCTTTCCTAAGGAAGGTCCTCAACTATCCTTCAACTGTCCTTTTGAAGTGCTGAGTGACTAGATGGTTTAACTTGGTCAGCCTAGGGACATTTTTGAGGTTCTTCTCTGTGCTGAGTCATGTCTGTAATCTGAATAGTGTAACAGCCCAGAAATGTAGAGGTTATTAGCCCAATTTTTCAGTTGTAGAAACTGAGACTCCAACAACTAAAGTGACTTACCCAGGGTGACTTACTTGCAAAATCTCCCAGTGAGGGTGCAAGCTTTGTTCTTCTTTCCTGAACCACACTGGCCTGCAGAGGGAGAATGTCCAGCTGGGCTGGCAGTTCATGGCTGGGCTGCGCTTGAAAGGCAAGTTATATGGCATCCCTTTTTATACCTCACCCTTGGAATTTCTGCTCTAAGGGATCTCCTGTGATCACTTCCTTCCCCCCAAATGGATTTAGATGGCCCATTTTTTCCCAAAGCAGCCGGTGCTTACTTCTCTGATGGTGTGGTTGTCCTTACACTACGTTATTTGGACCTCTGTCTTCCATGGGAGAATGTCAGCTTCTGGGCGGCCGGCCTGGGCTTCCATGGCTTGGTCTTGAGCACCTCGTGGAGCTCTTGCAGCCTTCCACTCCTATCTTCATTTCAGTGTTGTGTTGTAATTTTCACGAGGGTGGAAGACTCAGAGTGTTGTCGCTGTAAGGCAGCTGATGGGGGCACAGACACAAAAAAGAAAGAGGCTCTGAGTGAGATGCAGCGTGAGGCCAGCAGCAGAAGGCCCAGGAGACAACGAGATGTTAGCAGGTCTGCTTTGCGTCAGATGTTTATTTACTTTTCTTCTTCTTAAGGAACTTATTAATTAAGCCAGTATGCGCTAATTCAGTTAGCTCTCCTTCCCTAAATTCCTAATGACAGACTAAAACCAGAAATTTGAAGCCCTTGTTACATGGCAAATAAGCCTTCTTACCTGAAGGAGTTAATCCGCGATCTCAGATGGCAAACAGACACCCCAAACCAGAGGAGCAACTGGGCTTGCACACTGAATGCCCGCAGCGGCTTTGAGAGCACAAGACCCTTTTGCTTGTTGTCATCATTCCCACTGAGTGAAGATAGAATGGTTTATATTTTTTACCAAAAAGTAGAAGCTTTCCTTAGCATTGGGGATAATGATTATGATAAAAGCTGCCAAATTAAGGGC